ATGTAATATTTAAATTATATTTAATTTTAATGTATAAATGTTATTACCCATCATTATCTATTTTGACAAACTGACGTCAATAAAATGGAGGGAAGGTCCGCCATGTGCATGGAACGATAGGTCGTTAAATTGTCGATTTATTGCAGCCATTTTGTAGATACCTAGTGCCATTAAAATAGCAGTTATGCTCATGCAGTTGTTAGAAAATAACAAATGAATTGGGTAGTTTCCAGGGTATCAAAATTAAAAATCTAATTAGTCCGTCAGTTAGATAATGAAAACATATTAGACACGTTGCTTTTTTTTCTCGAATTAAGTTGCAATACTTAGATAAAATGGCGCTAAGTTTAGGAGTGGGAGGTCGCAACGTCATAACGTGCTACAAATTGTGGCACGCTGTGACGTCACACGTCAAAGTATTTAATTTTGTGTGACATTAAAATAAAATTTTGGAAACTACCCTATTACTAGAATTGCGTTTATACCCACACGTATCCAGATGTGAAAAGGCTAATGATACCACAGCCTCACAGAATACCGACGTGACGTTACTGGACCCCCAATTATTACCCAAGTTGTCTATGGGTGCTACTGACCATCATGATTAGCCTCAGCTTGTACACCTAAAAACCATAAAACAAATTCTTCGACAAAAAGGTTACAGACTACATTCACAACCCATAAAACATTGGATTTCCAAGAATTCATTATTAGAAATTCCCCACAGTAATTTCATTGTTGCTATCTGCCAGTGATTATTCCAAACTTCATGATAAGCAGACACAATATTTTCCTACATTACATCAGATAGGTAGTATCATATCACGCTTTTACCCGACTACGGCGAAGCGACCAAAAGGAGGTATTATGTAGGTACAGTAGACCAATGTGGCATACGACAACGGCTATCCTCTAAGAAAATGTTCTTATTGATATTAGAGTGTATTTTTCATAGTCAGATTATAGTATTTATATTTTTTTCTATTATTGTTCCATGAATGATGATAGATAATTTAATATTTTGGTAACAGTGCATAAAAGAGGACAAAAAGATACTAAAGTATACCGTCAATAAGATGTCAAAGAACTCGTCCGCACCACTGTCACAGGGGAACGTTATCAGAAGACAGTATCAACACGTTGTTTGGCAAGGCTTATTTTCAGAGGGCTAAGTACGAGTTTCTTTTTCGTGTAAAGTAATCGAAACGAGACGGCGTCCTGAGGCCTTAGTACGAGTTTGATTTACGTTTAAAGTATTCGAAACGAGTACGAGTTCGGCACTCTGATTGGCCGGCGCCAATGAACCAACCAATCAGAGCGCCGAGCGCGTACTCGTTACGTTTACTTTAAACGTAAAAGAAACTCGTACTAAGGCCTCTGTCCGAAGAAATAGCCAGCCCTCTGATTACGTGTAGTCGATAAGCCCGCTGGCATTTTCCTTAAAAACAGAATGCGCTCTGGAAGTTGGGACCCCGTAGCCATTTTAAGTAACATGTATTTAAATCATCAAACTTAGCCATCCATCAAGCTAAGTTAACATTTTCAGTACTTACATATTTATTTTGACAACCTGTTTCATAATATTTCACAATCTTAAAAGACATTGTGAAAAAATTGATTATTCCCTTGTCCATAAGCAAAAAATCTTTCATTCATCATCATATATAACCAGCTACAAATAGTTGTCTATACGTCAAGTTACATGTATAAATGCGATATTCAATTGATTACTGCTCACACTCTCACGCCCAAAACCACAGAAGCAATATAAACAAACTTCGCTACAAAGATAGAGTGCCCTGAGAATTCCACTCACCGAACAGCCACATTCCTCGTGATTTAAACGTAAACAGTTAAACTATGAAACAAGTATATGAACTACTATCTTCTCTTTTAATAAACGCGTGATTCTAAACTGCACAATGAAACAACATTCTTATTCCTTGAATCATTTGCTTTAAGTAAACAAATCTCTTTGTACGGAGAAACAGTTAAATGTCTAATTGCGTCATGTCTACATGTTAAATGCATGTCGATTCGTTTTACGCGTGTAAAATGCGTAATAGTAATACATAAGTGGCTTATCTCCAACTTAAGTGACGTAGCATGTTAGATAACTTAAAATCTTTAACAGTATTGAGAAGAAAACATTGTACAGTGGCATTAAGTGCAGTAATGTGCACCTCTGCCTGCCCCTTCGCGGATAAAAGGCGTGATGTTATGTATGTAGAACTGAGAAGAAGTGAGTGTCTTGAATGCTCATTTGAAAAGACTAAAGTATATTTTTGGATAATTGGTTAGATTTTCGGGTATTCTTTACCTTCTTATCTATTAACTCATGCCATATTTTCATATTGTTTCATTGCGAAATTCGCTATGCTCATTTTTTTTTCAAATCTGTGTGTGAAGTGTGAATTTCTACTGAGCGCAAATCGTTCTGCCCCGGCAAAGCGTTTATTTGAAAATCACGCAGTATTTTCACTAAAATAAAGTAACAGCATAATACATAGAAATAGCATCTTCATACATTTCCTTTGTCAAACAACAATAAACAATATTGATACATTAACTATCTAAAGATGGTTGCCAACAAGCCAGTATATTTAACTTGCAAGTCAAATCAATCGTATCTCATTTCCTGGTCATTAAGTGAGCCAAACTTGTCTCAACAGCCGTCCAATCAGGGAGCATAACGGCCACATAGTAACCAATGTCTTCGACCCTCCATTACTGGTTGATTGGACTTGATTGGCTAAGGGACAATGAATTAGGGAGAATATAGCGATATTCTCCCTAATTACAAGTACAAGTAGCGACTTGAGAATAAGGGACTGTAGGTACTTGTATTTTATTAAAACGTTCGTTGAGATACACAATATGGCAGTAACATAAACATAACATCATGCCTTTTATTCCCGAAGGGGTAGGCAGAGGTGTACATTATGCCACTGTACCTCTACAATG